AGCGCATCAACGCTAAGATTTCGGCTTTCCTGCACAAAGGGCGCCGCCTGTGCCTGGGTGACAAAGCAGATGCCTGTGGCCTGCGACTGAACCTCCTGATAAGACAGTTGGGCCAATGGCGTGCCAGACTGAGACGTGAAGCTGCCGGGGGCCAGCTGCAATTGAAGCGGGTCCACATGGAGTGGAGCAGGGAAGGTTCGCTTCACTTGTTTTTGCTTCTTGGCCTTGGCCCGGGGAACCTCGGTGCCGAAGCGCTCCTGAGCCCGCTGTTCGATGTGCATCTCTAGCTCGTCCGGTTGCACCCACTTGAAGAGAGTGCCAGGGCGGGATCCAGCAGATTTGAGGGCCTGCCACGGGTTCCTGCTGTGAAGTGCCTCGGCTATGGGGCCCGGACCCAACTTTGAAACAGCCTGCTGAAGTCTGGCGGCCACGTTGGCTGAGGGCACCCCTTTGGACACAAGCAGCTTCTGTAGGGCCTGTTCTTGTTCAGACGACAGCCCGCCCCTGCCCAACAAGCAGTGCGGCAAAGGTGGAAAGGTGGCAATGAAGGCTTGGGCTTCCTGCAGTTGTGCCGGGTCATTGGTTCCGGAAATTTTTCCTGCAGCATGCGCTAGTAGGATGGCCCCACAGTCATTCAGAGTGCGCTGGGGCCAGGTGCAGCATTCAGTCACTGTCGCCAATGAGCGACCGGCCAATTCACAAAGGAGCGTTGACAGTTGCTTGGCCTGCACAAGGTTGCGGCCGGGTACCCCGTCAAAGACTTCAGCAAGGACACTGCCATTTGAGATGCTGAGCACAAGCAACGTCCAATGTTCCTGATGCACAAATGGTACAAAGACCAGCATGCCCTCCGGGAGGGCCAGGGCAGGATGGTGCTTGAGACGAAGCTGGTCAGCTGCACCTAATTCAAGAAGGGCTCCAGCAATCTTTGGGGGAAGTATGAGTGCCGAGGCTCCGGGGATGGATCGAACAAGCTCCCAAAGACCGCACCAGATAGCAACATCAGTGCAGCCTGAGGTTCCAAACTGTGCAAAGTGCTGCGCAAGCG